GAGTGTTAGGACGTTGACTTTATGCCAGGAAAAGGTACGCAGAAGGGAACCCCAGGGCAACAGTGACTTAAAATAGCTTTGCTGGGCAGAGAAAGCAGCTGGGACATGATGTTTGTACCACTGCGGTGGCGACACCATCATGGAAGCATGAGGAAAGGGAAAATCAGCTGCGACTTTGTAAACTCCAGCAGAAAAGCGTTTGTCTTCCTAGTCCGGGGACCTAATGGTCATCTTAAGGCAGTGCAGGTGGGCTGAATTTTTGAAGCTTGTGATTGTTTTTTTCGACACTTAAAATACCTGCTGAGAGACGGCAAGGCTGCTTTCTTGTGTTATCTTCAGGTTATGGTAAGAAGAAAAACAGCAAAAATTTTGGTTCTTTGACTAGATGAATGGGAGCCAAGAAAATACATGGGCAGACACATGCAGATGTGCTCAGCCTCACCTAGAGCTTTTCAGGAGTTTTACCCTGTGCTTGCTGCTGTTTCATAGTTTCCTTCAGTCCCAGACACGATAGTTGTTAAAACTAATAACAAACAAGCAGCAAAGTCGGGAATGAAACCAGATGTTGGAAGTCAAATGGACTTGTTGAAGGGGTTTTGGGGTTGGGTTTTCTTTTTTTTTTTTTTTTTTTGAGACTTGTTTGAATAAACAGAAAATATCAGCAGCGCTGAAAGAAGTTTGGTTTTAAATTGCCTGTGCGAACCCTCTGTTTTCACAGGGAAGCTGGAAATGAAAACTGAAGACGAGGTGGATTTTCTGAAAGATCATGATGAGGGCGCAGCCCACGAGGAAGCGGTGAGTGCCACTTATGCGTTGTCACCTTGTCTTTTTCTGTACTTTTTAAAGAAACACCACCACTACTGTGTCCAGCCACATAACCTGCTGCTTTCCTTTCTGTAGCCTTTGCAAAGCTGAACGGCATCCATCACCGTGATGTTGTTTTAGCCTTTTAAAAGTAGGATGGGCTTTTTTAGACCTTGTGTTTTTCAACCACTGGATTAAGCTACGTTTATGTTGTCTCCGTTGGTGACATAGAGGTTTACCTGAACGGTTTCTCATGAGGCAGGCCTGTACCAAGATTTGTATGTACTTTGATAAAAGCGATGCCCTGTAATGTGCTTGGGGTTGGCGATGCCGCGTGGGGGCTGGCACCGCTTCTGAGGTCCCCGCACGTGCGTGGTCCTGGCGAGTCTCTCTGCCCCCTCTCACGCTTTGCCCCTCCGGGGAGCTTTTGGCAGAGGGGACTGTGGCTGCGGTTGGTGTTGGTGCGTGCACCGACTCTGAGGTCTAAAGGCATCACGGGCTGGGAGCATTGGTGCCTTTGCTGGAAGAAGAATTAATAATGGGAAGACGTAGAGGGATCAAGTGTGGAGGGAAACCCCGTGTTCCTCACATCGGTGAGACAATATAAAAAGGTCATGCCAGGGATCAGAAATCAGTTGTTATTGTTTTCTATTACTTGTGCTTTGCCATATTTAAGGACCGTCTATGATTTAAAAAAAAAAAAAAAAGTGAATATTGGGGTTGACAGGAATGTAATTTTGGTTTAAAGCACCCCTAATATATATTCTGCTTTATCAAGAGCTGGGTTTTTTGGTTTTACCTTTCCTAGCTGGATTTGCATTTGCTCCTATATTTTATATACAGTTTCTTGTTCCTGAAAAAGAAAGCTTTTTGTAAATGCTAAATTGCTCGCAGCCTGCATTGGTGCACGTTGCCATTGAGCAGCTGTGTTTATGTGTTAGCGTACCATTATGAAGCTGTTAAAAGAGAAAATGTTGCGGGGATGAGTTAACATTGCAGGGTGGAGCACCAAAAAACTTTGCTCATCCCGCAGTAAAGCTCTTCAGGAGGCAGAAAAATCTTGCCAAAGCTTGTAATAAAATCAGGTTTATTTTGTTTTTAACAAGTTTAGGCTTAATTTCTCTAGCTGTTTGCTCAGTGAGTTAGCCAGGGACTACAGCAAATAACTTTCAAAGCTAGAATTTGTGCTGTCTGATAAGTAAGTCTTTTGTTACTGGAATGTGCGAGTGTAAAGATGCTGCTGATTTTTTTTACCAACCCTTTATTAAAGATAATTTTCATGACTAAAACTTAGGTATCTGGTAGTAAAGTAAGATGTCTTTAGAAAATGAAAATTAAGGCACTGTCTTTTCCTTTCAAACAGGGAAAAAAAAAAGGAAACATATAGAATTTGGCTTCCATTTTGCATGTTTTACAGGCATTTTGATTTTTTGTGTGTGTGCTTTCTTCTCTTCTTCCTCTCCCTCCCACCCCGTCAAACACCTCTTTAGAAATCTGGCTTTTCTGGTACAGGAATGGGAGTGCCAGGGGAATGGAAAGTTTGCTGCAGGACTGACAGGGTTTCCTGTTGCTAAGTTCAACAGAAACAAAACAACAACTGCACTATATTAAGGTCATTTAAAAAAAAAAAAAAAAATCAGTGGAAGGCTTAAAAATAGAGCTTAATTCACATGTGTAGGTTGGGTAGGGAGCTGGCCAGTGAAAGCCATCGTGAAGTGTGCATCTCCTGCCTCATCCTGTCTCTGCTTTATTTAGTCCTGACTTTTTTTGTAGCCAGAAGTTTTTCAGGTGCTCATTGCCTTCTCATTACACAGCCATTTTGTGGTTAGTAAAAGTGGTTTTCTTAACTTGTTGCAAATAGAAATGTTGTTGCTCTCACCTGGTCAGGAGCTGCAGGTATTTAGCAGTCTCACCGGTGCTGTCAGCGACTTTGGACCTTGGGAACTGCATTAACTCTTCTTTTATGGGTGAGAATTTTGCACAATGTTATTTATAAATACGCGATGTAGAAAGCTGTTTATATGCATAGACTGTTAAAAAAAAATATTTTGGAGCCTAAAAAGTGCAACTTCTATAGCGGAATTGGGCTGAATAACAGTAAGCTTGAGCACACTGGAAAGAGAAGAGGGAAAATTCCTTCTCGTGAGTTTGTTCCTGAAGTCAGAGGTTTATCTGGGTTTGTGATGCCAAGAAGTGTACTTCAGTATTACATGTATAAGGTTGCACATGGTTTCCCTGTAGTCGATTCAGAAGACTTTGCCTGAGAGAGGCTCTTGTGCATGTCATGGAAAAGCTGCAGCTGAAAAATGTTTAGGAAAATAATGGTTTGTAGGGTTGTAAGCACTGAAAAGAAAATAATGGAAAAATGTTTTTTCCAATTAAAATGGGTTTTTAAAGTGTCTGTTTCTTAAATCTCCAGAATGTTTTTGCAGATGTTGTATTTGTTAAGCTATAGAAACTCTGTAACCAGAATTTCCGAAGCTCTTTTCGTGTTGGATGCAGCTTTAAGCAACCTGGTCTAGTGGATGGTGTCCCTGCCCACGGCAGGGGGGTTGGAACCAGATGATCTTTAAGGTCCCTTCCAACCCAAACCATTCTATGATTCTGTGATTCTATGATTCTCTTGGGCGGTGGGTGCTCATCCTGCTGGAGACTTCCCTGGTCCTTATCTTCTGGCTTTGTTTGGAGATCTTGAGTGGAGTGGGGGCAATAACTTGGTGTGATCTATTAAAATTAGACTTCAGCATTTTTAAAATTGAATAACTTTAGATTCCTAACTCTGATGAGAAATCTGGTTTGGCTTCTGCATACTGTGATATTAAAATAATTTAGAAATGGTGCCTGGTGGCTCCAGCATTATGAAAGTAAAGCGACAGTTTGAAATGAACTGTACCCTGATATACTTCTCTTGCGTTGATCCCAGAAATCGGTTATGATTCATTATTTGCTGAATCTTTGTCTTCATGTGGCAGGATGGATAAGGTTGCACTGCTGGGTTCATCCGACGGCTTCAGTTGTCTAAGCCTGTGACCGACAAATTGTAGCTGGCTGACCCCAGAAACAGAGTTCATCTGGGAAATAGCCTTCTTGTTGTATCTATTAATTTCATTAGTTAGTTCCTATTGAATTTAATGCATCCTACCTTTACCACATGAATTAGTTTTTAATCAATATCTGTATTTTTGGAAGTTGCAGCCTACCGGATAAACATGGCATTTCTAAATATCTTCACAGAGAATGAAGCTTGAAAAAGATTTGCACTTTCACCTCTCCACTGATCCAGGTAGTGCAGTAACGTGTGATATATCAGCAAGGTCGCTTTCTAGGGGAAAACTTGCAATATTTTCAGTCATGATTTGGAAGATGGAAGTATGTTTGTAGCACTCTAGGGTGACATCAGGTTGGGAGGTGTTGCAGGCACTTGGGAGAACAGGGTCAGGGTTCAGAGTGACCTTAAGAAATTGGAGAGTGCATCCACATAGGAGATAAAAGCAGCCACAGAGTACTTCATTTGCAAAGAAGAAATTAAAATGCACATTTACTAAGTCAGGTTTAAGCTGGAGAGGGATGGGCAGAAAAAAACTGAGGAGTTTTAGTGGACCACAAATGAATCATCAGCAAGAGGCTGTTGCAAAAGAGACAAATCTTGTTTTGAGTTATATTGAAGGAGTGTCCTCCATAAGGTGTGGAAGGTGACTTACTCGTGCATGGCACTGGGGAGGCATCATCAGTGTCATCAAATCCAGTTTTGGGTGCCCTGCTCCGAGGAGGACACAGGCATACTGGAAGGTGTCCAGAAGGAAACAACGAGAAGAGATTAAGAAACGTGAGAAGAGGTTGAAAGAATTAAATTTATTCAGTGCAGCAAAAAGGAAACTATTGTGCAATCTAGCACTCTGCCAACATGTAATAATGGTTATTAAAGTCCTACATTTCCATGGCAGCTTAATTTACTGATTTGCTAGTTTCCCAGGATGATTTAGGCTGGATGTTGAGAAAACATCCTGTTATCATCACGAAACTGTCGCAAGACCACCTAAGGAGGCTAGGAAACCTCCTTGCCTGGGAGTTGTTACAGATAAGATAATGTTGCTCTGTTGGGACAGAGCCCCAGGTCTGTTGTTGCCCATTGCTTTTGGTTTGTAGGCCCCCAGGTTTGTGCTATGCTGAACAGGGAGAAGAGGAGGGAGCAGCTTGGCCGGAGTCCAGCAGGGTGTGCAAAGGAAGGGGACAGGGATGGCAGGACAGTGGGAGATGGAGGTGGGAAGAGGGGATGGGCTGGACTGGGTGGAAAAGGGCTTGTGGGAGAGGGGAGAGACCCACACGGCATTGAGGTAAGTGTTAGGATGGTCAGTAGGTGTGAAGGATCCAGGATTTGTCCTCCCCACAACCGTAGTCTTCCATGCTTCTCTTCCCTGGAGTCAGCAGATAAATGGAGAAATTTATGGCCAAGGTGTACAGTGTCACCCCCCTCTAGTGTCTGGTCCTTAGGAGGACAGCATGATGCTGGTGCTGGTGTTGGTCAAGTAGTAGAGAGATGCTTCACGGCTCAAAACTGCTGAACTTCGTCGGTGACCCAAGACAAGGGGTCATTATAGTTCTCCAGGCTCCAATTTATTTTCTTAGGAAATAACTTCTTTAACGAACTGCTCACCCTGAGGACCTGCCAAAATTCAGATTGTGCGCACTGGAGTCCATTTTCTCCATCTGCATGCGTGTACATATGCACGTACTACGGGATGGTGATTGCAAATCCCTGTTTTCCAAAGGGCCTGCAGGACAGCATGGGGAATTTCAGAGTGAGTGGCTGAAGCGTTAGAAACAAATCAGAGCGGGGTCCAGTGATGGAAAGTGCAGCCTTAACAATAGGCTGCATCCTCACCACACCTCTTTAAAATCACTTGTGTAACTCTCTTCCTAAATGTTGTCCTGTAACTACAGTAAACATGGAAAAACCCAGCCAAAAAGGAGCCTGCCCTAAGCCTGGCATT